TTAAGACTTGTGGACTTCAACTCCCAGAATTCCTCAGCCAGCAAAGCTGGCTGAGGAATTCTGGGAGTTGAAGTCCACAAGTCTTAAAGTTGCCAAGGTTGGACACCCCTGGTTTATACAGTACTGTAAAACATTTACTGTTACTATAAAGTCTTTCACTCAGGAAGAAATTGTTGTACAATAAATAAGTTATAAAAAGTTTTTACAAGCCATGTTTAAAAACCTGGTAATGTTACTAACTATATCAATTATGATAGCAAAAATAATAATGTGAATAAATGTCTTGTACATAATGTGCATTATTGTAAATTTTCAGGCAATTACAAAGGTGCATTTCACTAATACCTTTATATTTAATCTTTAGAATTTAGTCAAATGCAATGTAGCAATAGCATCGCTTGGATTGTTTAAAAAAAATTTGTTTTGAAGATGACACTATCAATGATTAATCAAATAGTTCCATATTTCCAGAAATCCAATTGGAGTAGCAGCAGGAGAAGCAGATAAGGAATATATGAGACTAGGAAACTATTACTCAAAAGTAAAACAATATGAGTATAGATAGGAGAAGTAAAAAAAACAAATGTTTTGTGAAATAAATAATGTCATTTTACTTTGATAATGATTTTTGGATGAATAAATGCACTACTTGAATAATTAGACAACCTAGATAACTTTATAAGGAAATCATACATGTTTATAGAAGATAAAGTTTTTATTGCTGTTAATCAAAGTGCCATACACTGTCTCATATTACTCAGAATATATTTCTGAAACCCAGTTGTGTTGAATAGAAACTGAAGTTTTATCAGGCTCATTTCCAGTTGGTTGATCACTTTGAAAACCTAATTTAGTTTAGTAAAACTAAACTAATTGGTCTTTGACCAATGGAAGCCCCAGTGAAATGTTTAAAAAAAAGGCAGCAATGTCAACTTCCTGCCCATTTGTAGATGCATGTGACGGTTACCTTAATTGTTTTTTTATCTGCCTCTGGCTATCTTGTTATTTTATTAGTTTTTTAATAAGATGTTGCAAATATCAAAATATATGCAAAAACAGAAAAACTAGTTGCTGAACAAGCATCAGTATGAAAGACAGTTCTATGCAGGAGTTCTAGGGTATTTTCAGAGAAACCTGTCTTTTATCAATCTATACAGTGTTCCTACTCATATACTAGTAGTGAGCCATGGTGGCACAGTGGTTAGAATGGAGTATTGCAGGCTACTTTAGGCTGCCTGCCGGCTGCCTGCAATTTGGCAGTTGACTCAGCCTTCTTCCAGGGTGGGTAAAATGAGGAGCCGTTGGGGAAATATGCTGCCTGTAAACCGCTTAGAGAGAGCTGTAAAGCACTGTGAAGTGGTATATAAGTCTAAGTGCTATTGCTACTTGTGATGCTGCAATGGTAGAATCCAACCAAATGTACTTTGATTTTAACTGTTACATTTAGAGAGGTTGTTCTGTATTATTTTGGTCTTATTATTTACACTGTAGAACAAATTGAGCATTCCTATTTATATATTTCCTAAATAATATGCAAATGAAATTGTGATGGGCCACAGGCAAGAATCACCTGTGTAAAATTCAAAATAAAATCGGATAATCCAATAGTTTTTTTAAAATGAGAAAAGGGATCACTGTTAACTGATATGGCTCGAATATTATTTTATTTTATTATTGCAATCGCTAAAAAGAGTTAAGCAGTAAAACTAAGCTAGAATAACAAAGAAACCCTATCTCCACATCAGTATCAACCGTACAACTGAAATAGTACTGTAGTGATGTTATGCAGGCAAACAAGTTCAGTCCAGTGGTATGCAAATCTAACCATAACTAAAGAATGAATATCACTGCCCTAGCTAAATCCAAAACCACGTCTACTCTGTCTTACCACCAAATGGAACCAACTCATGAGGAAGGAAGGAAATAACTGTAGTACAATATACACCAATTCCAACTGTTAGAAGTGATACAGATGATATCATTTATTGTTCATATCAATGAAAGGTAAGATCTAGTTGCATTAGGAAGACCCCCCTACTACCTAGGTCCCACCACAGTCATTCTCAAAAGCAGTCAGTGTGGTGATTCAATTGGAGTAACTGCTGGAACCCTGACACCAACCACATTATCCGTGATAATAGCTAAGTAGAACCTCAAAACTCAAATCTAACAGTTTTGAAAAGAAAAGACAATAGGAGAAAGGTCATTACAGTCCCACCATAATGGGCTGTGAGAATAACCTTAGGAAGAGGTACCATAGCCCAAACAATAGCCATACAAGAAATATCTCAGCCCACAAAAGGAATGGGGCTGGATAAAGCATCTTAGAAGGAACCCTTCCTAGTTCTCTGGAAAATAAAAGCAAGGGAGGGGAGGAGTGCTTTCAAACTTGTAAGATTCTATTATTGTAATTTGCAACAGAGGTAGTGCTAGTTCTCATGGTTTTGGTTGCTTCTCTGGACTACCTCAAAGGGCTGACAGCCCTCCTTCCACTTCTCAATACAGAATATATGAATACCATTACTAAAAGCTGTGTATTAGATTAAATTAAGCTGCTTCTCCTTATTGAACGTCACACTGGAGTGGATGGCTATGCTGAACGTAATAAATAAGAATAATTCTTACATCAGAACATACATTATTTTTTATATTTTGTGAGAATACAAAATGTATTTTATTATGTACCATAACACAACTAAATATATATCTTCTGCCGTTCTTGGTGGAACCTAGCAAGAGAACTAAATATACAAAGCCCTGCAGTATGAATTATACAGAGGCTATTGTGCATAGCATTTCTTGGGTAGCTTGAAATTTGTTGGCAAGAGCAATTTGCTTGAATATTAAAAGGTCAGTTAATTAGTAGCCTTACCACAAGTAAGGCATCTGATATTATCCTCCAGATTTCTCATGAGCCTTCCTTGACTAAACAATAAATTTGATCTCTTCTCTTACATTTTGCATTCTAAATGTGCAAACCACGACACACAATTAAACTTGCAGACACTTATTAGGCTGCCATTTGTGATTTATGTTGTGTAATAAATGACTGTAGGCTTTCTTGGGCTTTCCAGAAGAATCTTAGAATGAGATGCTGCTTTTCGTAAGTTATTCCTCACCTCCCAATATTAAAAATGTTCTTTATTCTTAAATAAATCCCCAACCCATTATGTTTGAAATGTTTAACCATACATCAAAGGAGATTAACAATTTTGTTCAGTTTAGGTTTGATTTAAAATATGTTGCCAACATTTAGCCACTTCTAAACAGGCATAAATATTTGCCATTCTTATAAAGAAACCAACTCCCTTTACAGACATTTCTGTGCACCCCTACAGATGGCCTACTCTCAGGATGAACTTGATGTGTCATAATGTGAACAATAGACAATTTAAGAAAATGCATAAGTATTTTGCTGTATTATGTTTGAATGGATTTATGTGAGCAGAAATAGTCATGCCTTCTGTTTTTATTTTAAACATGCATACGATAATATATTTTTATCTCTTCTATTTTTTAAAACACAAGATTTTGGCAAAGAATTGTGGGATAAAATGCAATCATGTCGTTGAAATATTAAACCACTACATCTACATTGTTAGTGCTGTGCCAAAATATTCTAATTTCTTTTTGTTTGTCAAAAAACAAATAGCTTCTATTTTTTTTCCAGAAAAGAAAAATATACTAGTAAAATTTTAATGGGAAGCACATGGCTTGTTCTTAAGCTTACTTTGATATTATGAGATGGGTGAAACTAAATGATATCCCTTTCATCATGCAATAATTTCTCCGGAAGATTGCAGCTTCATTGCTGTTCTACTTTACAGATAAATTCCAGGGGAAATTATCATGAGGTTAACTACTCCCACAGGATTTAAAAAAAATCAGGAAAAAGAGACAGCCAGAGAGCTTGCATATTAGAGGAAAGATGTACAACAGCATCTTGTACCTATAAAATAAGCTCACAAACATCAGAACATACAAGAAGTATAAAGCAATTCTAATAAGATAAACAAGGAGCAGTTTCTACTACTACTACATTCAAGAAATTGGAAAGATTAAGAAATCAAATCAAATATTTTTCTCAGGGTTTTTTGAAAATACAGTGAGTAATAAAAGAGAGGAAGAGAGGAAGGTTCCTAACACTGCTGAGAATGATTCTAAATTTCTACAAGTCCTAATCATATTCAGATCCAAGAATAATGAATGCATGGCAGGGACTAGCCACATTCTCAATGATCTCAATAGAGATTAATGAACTGAATGAATTGTACATGTATATACATATACACTACACATTTTTTTGATGTGATCAGAATTTTTATAAAATGAAGCACCATCACTAGCATAGCATACAAAGCTATATGCATTTAATTCTGCACAGATGTGCTCTGTCCAAACAATTAGCAGTATCTATGACTATATGGAGGAAAGTCCATCTGCAAATTCCAACTCTTGTTCATAAGCTTCCATGCACAATAGTCTGTAAATGTTTTTATAAAGCTAGAACAGTCCTTCCTAATTTAATCAGTGTGTCAGCTTCTATTTTATCCGGACAATATCCAGTTGGGAACAGAGAATTCAACATTCATGGTCATATTTGAAAGGAGCTACCATTATCATCAATTTCTTATTTAATTCTACATTTTTACTTTTTAAATTACCTTTATCAGTTCATTCATGTGGACATTGTAGAGCAGAGTCCCCAACCCCCAGTCCATGGACCACTACTGGGCCATGGCATGCCAGCAACCAGGCCATGCAAACAAGGAAAGCCCCACCCGCAGGATGCAGAGGGCATGCAAAACCACACCCACACTGGTCCGTGGAAAATCTCTCTCCATGGAACCAGTACCTGGTGCCCAAAAGTTGGAGGTCGCTGTTGTAGAGAGAATGATGTTAATATACACAATAAATAAATAAAAATAAAATCAGAAGTCTGGTAGCTATTTTTCCACCCACCCACTGTGGGCCTCTAATGAATTGAGCTGCAGTTGATGGAAACTAATATCTTTAAATGTTTTGCCGGTCAGGAAAGGTGGTAACAGGTTCTTGTGAAATATGTCTATATCGATATCGCTTATATTATCTCTGTATCTTGTGATACTAATTATGAATAATTATGTTTTAGTTGCAGGTACTCTACAAGATAATACTTTGAAGATTTTCCATGGTGTAATTATATTTCTGCTGGTTGTTACTATGCTCAGTTCCTTCCTTAGTTCTGGATTTACCTGTTATAATGCCATCAGCAACCCATACCAAACATTTCTGGGGCCTACTGGAGTTTATACTTGGAATTCTATGTCTTGTAAGTAATATACATCTGAACAGATATCTTTTCAAATAATTGATAATCTAATATACTTACACTGAGACAACCAAACAATTGCAATTCAGAATTGTAAAAAAACAAAGGCAACCATCTTGATATTTATCAATATTCAATTAAATTCTACATAAAATTCTAAATTGATTAACTGGAAGTACAAACATGTTTAAAACACATTAAGCAATTACATTAAAAATAATCTCTGGTTAATTTAATTTACTAACTTTGATACTTACAAATGTTCCTCATCTTTAATTACAGATTAGTAGCCAATATAAAATAAAAACAAGTTATATACTCCAAAATAATTAGTAAAAATTAAACATAATAATTAATGTTAAATGCTTTATGTTTAGATCTTAAGGATACTAATTCTGCAAGCAGTCATAATGATAACATTTTATGGATTATATTTCTAACAAAAGACTCATTTTATTCATTAGTAATCAAGGTTCATATATGCCAATTTACATCTTAAATTATCTTCTGGAATTACTTTATTATTTATAATATAATCCAAGTTACATTCAATAGCAGCAAACATTATGGAAACTGTCTTAAAAATGATCCAAAGATAGCATTATGTGCCTATACAAAATTGCTGGAAAAGGTCCATTTAAATCTGTAAAATGGGGTAAAAGAAAGAGTATGTCTCATGGTCATATATACTGTTTATAAGTCATTATATACATTAATAATATAGGAGTAATAATTATTAATCACAGTCCAAATATAAATTTACTATCATTATTTAATAAAGCAGCTCAAAGAATAATATTACACTAACTGTTCAGTTTATGATGGTTACATCAAGGCTTAAATCCAGAGGCTCCATCACTAAGTCCTTCTAATGAAAAATTACAGTAACAGAAAAGCAAACATACAAAAGATGGGAGTATCAGGATATACCAGAAGAGTTACTTTTGATTCAATTTGGAAAAAAGTACCAAAAGTATATATGGTGCTTGCAGATAGGCCCATCCATGGATGAACCAACCACTGAATTTTTATCCAAAATATCATGAAAATGCATTGTCTTTTGATAAACTAACCTACATTTGTCATAGTATTTTTGTTTAAAAAAGATAAATAAAGATAAATCCCATATCTTTAAAAAAGATAAATCCCATATGTACAGGAAATTTTGGATACTTTTAAAAAGTATTACCATATTTACTCATGGCCATCTGCAGTTAAGTAACTATTGGAATCTTGACTTGTTCTTAGATCTTTTTAATATGTTGGTTAGTTTTTAAAATGTGTACATACAGACATATACAAACACGCACATACATATAAACTGAGACTCAGAAATATTTTATATCATAAGTAAAACTAAGAACAGAGAGATATGCATATAAATTGTTCTGTGTGTGAAGAGAGAAAGAATATTGTTTTACTATCAAACATTTTATTAGGTTATAAAGTATTATAAAATACAAAAGTAAATAAAAGAGTGAAAGGGAAGGGGAAGGGAGATAGAAGTGAGAAAAGGTAGGGAAAAGAAAAGAAAAAGAAGCATTGACTTCTGACTCTGTCTGTTGCAGTAGAAAAGGGCATTACGATCAAATCACAGCTTTTTGTTTTTCAATAATAATAAAAACAAGTTATTTCTATAAAGATCTATCAATCTAATCTGTAAAACCCAAAGTCAGAATTACATTCTTTTCCACATCAAGCATGAACTTCAGAAGTGGTTTCCATGTGGAAACAAGAGTACTTATGTTTTTTTCTTTAATCAGAGTAGTCACTTTTGACATTTCAGCCAACTCCATCAACTTCTGCATCCATTCTTCTGTGATAGGTATCAAAATGTCTTTCCATTTTTGTTCATGTTTTACATAAAACACTGTATTTTGTTTTAAAACAATTCATGACATAGTCCAGCAATCCTCAACCTTTTTTTTGGAGGGGGGGGTCACCAGGGACCGGTTCCATAGAGAGAGGTTTTTCCGTGGTCTGGAGGAAGTGTGGTTTTGTGTGCTGCCTGCATCCCGCAGATGGGGCTTTGCTTGTTTGCATGGCCCAGTTTCTGGCATGCCATGGGCTGGTGCTGATCCATGGACCAGGAGTTGGGGACCCCCAACATAGTCAATATCTAGAATTTCTGTTCTACATTTGTATGACTTCTCTCACAGCTTTAATGTTTAATATAGCAGTAGAGATTCATAAAAAATATACATTGATATTCTGCATAGATCAGTTCTAATTCTAATAATTGCAAGTAGACTTAAAGTTGTGGGGCAAATGTTTTTGGGATAGCAAAGACATTCTTAAAACAGTTTTGAACTTGCCTCTTTCCACTTCATCTGAATTGGCTGACAACTCTTTCAGGAGAATCTTCTAGTGAGCCTCTGCTCTCTCTGAAAACAATCCTCAGAAAATACACTTTCCCTCCCCATTACGGTTCAGGTGTTTCTTTCTATTTGGGTTAGAGCCCTTTTATTTTGCTTTACTTCCTACTTTGCAGAGAAAGGACCACCTCTGATGCTTAATGTTACCTTTAGTACCTTTTAGACTTTTTTTTTTACTGAGGCTGTTACAATACCTCACTCAGTATTGCTTTCACCTTGTAATCCAAAATGTGCTACTTTGAAACCTGCCAAAAGAGGGGTTTTTTTAATTAAAAATTCCTGTTTTTCTTTCCAAGCAACCACTTTTGCCACTTGCGCTGTTTATTTATTTTTCAAACAGAGCAAATTTCACAAATTTTCCCATCCACTGAGCTAGACATCTTTCAAATACTCAGCTTTCAAATAGCCCACCTCCAAGACCCTACAAGCTATCTGAGGGCAGGGGAGAAACCCTTCTACCTTTGATGCTTTAATCTTATAAATATAAATTTAATTTAACCATATGTTCAAGCATTTGCCGAAGTGCCTCCAGCCAGGAAAGGATCTTTATTTTTAATGTCAGTTTATAGTCAAGCCAGCATGGACAGGACATGAGTAATTTCAGAAATCTGTGTATCTGACATAACCATTGCAGTTGGTTTGTTCTTCCTCTGATTTATGGTGTCTTAAACTTGAGGGGTGGTGACACAACTTTCTTGTATCTTTTACTCCTCACAAGAAACAGATGAGTTTTCATTGTTCTTTGGATTCTTATTTCTGGATTTTAAATCCTACCTAGGGGAAAAACAATAATTAAATAAATTAAATGCAAGACTGTTGGAATGCAGAAGGAAGAGAAGGAGGAATAGGAAGAGAAAAAAGAGGAGGAGGAAGAGTGAAGGGGAAGAAGAGGGGAATTAAGTCTTTTCTTGCTCTGTGTATTTCCTATCCTTATTCTCTCTAAAATCTACTGGTAACTTTGCTATATATACAGTATATGTTTTATACATATATATGTATGTATAACAAAAGGTCTACTGGCTCCTTCCATCACCCAGATCCTGGAAATGACACAGACAAAATGCCATTCACCCACACTGCTGATCTTATAAAGACCTGAGCCCAAAGTTCCTTAAAAGTTAAAAATGTTAGGGGATCTTATCATTAATCTTTCATATCATGTCTACTTTGGCTCTTTGAACCAATAAGAAAAAAACCCATGAGGTTTCTTTAGTTCTTAGGTGAGCAGCCTGAAGAGTATAATTGCAATAGAGAAAACATTGCTTAGAGGGGAAAAATAGAAATACACTTGCAGACAAAAACTGTTTTTATATACATAAAAAATAGTGAAATGTTATACTGTTAAATGAACTCATTCAGTCATTTCCCTGGAGCTACAATCCTTCAGTCTTCTATTAGACTTACATCAGGTTTTCTTTGATGTACTTTGCTCTCCTTATGATCCTGCTACTAAAATAACCCAACTTCTGATACTGAATTTGTCCCAAGAGATTCCTGCTTTTTAAAACAGGACCAAAATAATTTGTGCAAAAGAGAAAACTGTATTATCAAATATATAAACACCAAGTAGAACCTATGCAAAATCCTACCACAACCCAGGCCTTTCAACGTTAACTACAAAAACCATTATTCAAAATCATCACAGTGTCGGGGTGGGGGGAATTATCACCCAACACATGTGAGATATAGAATGCTGTTTTATAATATTTTGTATGCAGAAATATAACTCCATGTGGATGACCCTTTCTATGTATTTCAATCCATTCTGGAAGCAATCGACTGACTCGGCATGTTTTATATTTAAGGAACTAAACACAACAGAGAAATGCACAACATCAGCAATCTTTTCTTTTTCCTTTTAGGTATCTGCTGTCTCTTAAACCTAATATTGTTTTCAGTGAATGTAGAAGTAAACAAACTGTCCGCTGAGCTGGCCATCACACATTGCATAGCTTTCACAAGCTTTGAACAAAGCAACTCCTATGGATATTCATACTGGATTATGCTTCTTATAATTGCCCTCAATGCTACAACTGTTATCATCATTGTGTTCTACCAACGGGCAAAGTATTCTAAGAAGAAGGAACGAGAGAGACCTTTGGACAGTGCACCCAAGGATGGGATTTTATTTTAATGTGATTATTTGTTATGCTTTAAGATAAACTGAACAATCTTCATTTCAAGATAAAGTATGGAATTTACGGTCACTTGAGGTTCATTGACTTACATAGTATCATGGGGTACAAGGAAAAGATAAAAACAATATAATGGAGACTATTATGACTGGTATTTGAAGGGTCAAGCCTTGAATTTCCATAGGTATTATTATAATTGATAATTTTATTTCAAGAACTGGTTTGGTGTAGTGGTTAAAGCATCAGTACAGATACAGGGACACCATGAGTTCTAGTCCTGTTTTAGGCATGAAGCCAGCTGGTTGACCCTGAGCCAGTCAGTTCCATTTCTGAAAAATATTGGCAAAAAAACTGTAGAGATTAACACTATTTGCTAATTTGAAGGCACCAAATAAGAATTTTAATTCAGCTTTATTCCAAAATTGTACAATAGAGGTACAATAAAGATTTACACAAACATGTGATTTAAAATCAAATGTAGTGTATAGTTTTATCAGTCTGCTGTAGAATCCTGAAGTATTCAAAATTCATTGCATTTTAAATAATATTTCCACTTATTAGAGATATTCATCAGCTCTAAATTTCTGTTCTGTTTTGCTTTGTCAATTTTAATTTGACCTAAGTTGGACCCAGTTCAAGGTAAAAATATATTTCAGGAAACCAGTATCTATTATCCCTGCTGACTAGCAAGAAGAATCCTCAGACAGCTGTAACTTCTTCATCCATATAACAGAATTAAAGGGTGTGTCAGGAACAGCAGAACATTTTGAGCACATGAATGGAACCACAGAAAAAGGTAAACTGTTTATTTAAAGAAATAACATACTGTTTTGTTTTATCATTTGATCAAGTCAGATGATGTCTACAAGTAACAGCTCTGTCTTTTTGGATAAACCCAGTGATAGAGCAAAGCTCCCACCTCTTCTCTATTTATATTAACTTATAATGGCACCGTTTTATCTTTCCTTCATTAACTCTAATATATTCCCAAATGAGTCATCAGGAACTCAAGTCCTGAATGAACCAAATGGTAACAGAAAAGAAAACAGATCACTATAAATACACTCTATATCCAAGCTATTGTTTTCTTCTCCAGCCTTCTTGCTAGATACGTTTGTGTCTCTTGTCTGACTTCCAAATAGGATTGAGTAGCATGGTTTTAGTTAAAGGGAGAAACAATAATTTTTAACTCTTATCTGCTGTTATGTTCCAGAACTATGAATGTTCCATCCAAGAAAGCTGAGATGTAGCACTTATTAGAGTAGATCACGACAGCTAATTCTTCATTCACTTCATAAGTAAAATTCTGTATTTCTTCTTTTATACTCTGAATCAAGGTCCTATCTATAATAACACTGTGAAGACCCAGGGAAAAAATAGAATGCAGGATTATCCATTTGGGAATAGGTTTCTGCTTTGAGTAACATGATTCCAGAATGCAGGGCCAATGGATCACTGGGTATCTGTGGGAGAAAACTGGGAGTTTTCTCTGTTTGGTGACTAAATGGAGTACAGTTTGCTGTGACAGCCACATCTTGCATGCTTTATATTTTGTTTCAAGTCCACTCCTTTCCAAAAACAACCTGGATGTTTTTGGCCTTGTCTTTGTAACTTGGCTACTGATATAGATTTGGACTCAATTGAAGTTGGATTAGAATAAGACTATTACTTTGTCTGAATTGTATTGCTGCTGTTGGTTCTCAAATTTTAACTCTACTAGACTCTAACAGACTATCTGTTGCTTCTCATTGTTTCTGAACATTGTGACAAAATAGCTTCAAAACTGCAGCACAAACTAAAACTGATACAGGTATCAGCCTTAAAACTGTAATGCAAATCTAAACTGAACACAGGTATCAACCTTAATTCACTTGCTTTCAATGTGAAACTTGACTAAAGGCTACAGCAGGGAAGAATATACAGTATGTAATACTTGGCCTAATTTAATGTGGCCAACTTAATTTTAAAATCCTTTACAAGTAAGCTGTTATGACTTCAAGTGAATTCAGTTTGTCTTTTCCCCAGGATCCTCTCCTATGAATTGGTTAAGAGAAGTAAGAGAATGGATGGTACTATATCTTTTGGGCTCTGACTCCTGCCATCCCGTGTTTTAATCTTATTCACCATTTGCTTGCAACATGGTTCCCAACAGATCATCTTTGTATTCTACAATAAAATAATGGCATAGATAGAACACATCGATTACCTTCAACAAGCATTGTATTCAGGCTGTGCAAGTTATTATGGAACAAAGCCAAATGATTAGGAACTGACCTCGGTTTTCCATTTCCATTCATGAAAACCCAAGTGCAAATTTCATAGCAGAATCTATCCACAAGATATTATCACCTACGCTGATTTTAAAAGGGAAAAACAAGTTCTGCACGTACAGCATCCAATGTGATCATTTTCTGATCCTGGAACAATTAGCTATCACAGAAACAGTCATGCAAGAAAAAAAGAACAAATCTGACTGCTCACTCTTTAATTATGTTTTTAACTTAATTGGGTTTGAGGGTCATCTCCCTCAGATCTAAGTTCCATCAAGCATGTCCTTTAGGGGCTGATCTTCACTGAACTCAATTGTAAAGTGGTATCAGCTGAAAGCTTGTCTTCAGAATTCATCAGGTTTCTCTGCATGCTGTTTTATATCAAATAGCATCAAGTATATTAAAGTTACTGAAACCCCCAAGTGCTCAAGGTGATTTCTATATGAAAATGGATAATCTCCTAAAGTTTGTCCAATGCTGATAACAGTTTCCTGCTGCTACATAGCAATTCAACCGTGCTGAGCCACTTACTCTCAAAGTCCAATACACGAGTTTCCTGATAATATAAATGCCCTGTTTCTATTATAAAGTCTGATTGTAGATTTAATCACGTTGCATGATGAATGTTGGCTCAGCAGAACAGTGACAATGCTTACTGAAGCTCACTGTGAAAATTTCTGCACCTCAAGCAGAATTGATAGTGCTTGTTAAGCCAGTGGGTACAAAATGTCTAACTATTTTAGCCTTAAACATTGGTAGTGGTGGAAAGTGATGTATAAACATGATATAAAATTGCTACATCCGGAAGGATGTGCTTCTTTTATTGATGAAATCTATCTTGGTTAGTTCTCATTAACTAACCTCAGAACCGGTTTACTCAATCCTTGTCTTGAGATCACTGAATTTGCTTACTGTAGTACACACCATTGAATGAAATTGAGGTTTCTGAATTAAAACTTGGGTTGCTGTATTGGATCTCTATGTCTTGGATGCAATAAATAATATGCAGCATGAAGGATGATTATGTACACAGCAAAGGATTCCCCTAGGAAGTTACCACTGCATTACTTTCTGTCCTGGAGAGGTAACACATTTTCTACTTTGAATGTTTAAAATGTACATGCTTTTCCTCTGTTTTGGATGCCATTTTGAAGGACAAAAAAAGTAACTTCAATTTGTCAGTTAATCTAAAAAAGAACTTCAATTTCCATTCAATCTATATTGCCTTTCAGCTCATGTTATCTGTAATTTATAAAGAGCCTACTCTGACTTCTATTGAATAAAGTTATACAATTGCATTGCAATGGGCTGAAGATGAAATTTGATTTGTCACTATAAAATAACTAATTTCAGATTAAAAATCACAGCAATAAAAAGAAATAAGCTTTTGGCTGTATTATGATCAATTGAGTCCTTTTTTTCTTAGCAGGAATTTTGACTGTACTCATGACATGTTCTCAAAAATAATTTGCACATGCTTGAAAGTAGTTACTTTTGTACTTTTCTCATTGTGTTGGATATATGCAAAAATGTAAATTAAATATAACAAACAGCAGCCCAGAAAGTGAATGGGGAAAATCCTTTTTTAAACAGCCACATATTTTAATTTCTTTCATTTTATAATGTAAACAAGAACAATATTTCCAGAAAGATTCTTCTCATTATTTTCCTAAAGTGGATTCAATACTAGTCTTGTCACCAGATGAGCTCTACTGTGATCAAACAGGATTGTGATCAGAAACTAATAATTCAGTAAAATTTGAACAGCTCTGGGGTGTCAATGGATGGTGAACTTCGGTTTCGAGACACGCTTCTATAAATTGACCTTTTTTCTTTCTTTCAAGCCTTTTCTATGGTCAATTATGCCCATACAGTAGCTTGGCCTACTGTTTGTGCAGGAATAATTGCAAAGAGAAAATGCAGGAAACAAAACTGAAAACAATTTTTAAATGGTTTCATTCCAGATGCATTTTATGCTAGAATCAGAGAGGTGGTTATCTGAATAGCAATAGCACTTAAACTTATATACCGCTTCACAATGCTTTACAGCCCTCACTGGTTACATGGTGTGCCACAACAGATTATATCTGATAGGGGGTACAGTTCGCTGCTCAATTTTGGAGAGAATGCTTACAGATTATAGGGTCATCACAAGGACTGAGTGTGACATACCATCCCAGTATTAATGGGGCTTCAGAAAGAGCCAATGAGGCGATAGAACGCTACTTACGTTGTTATGTGGTGTACCAGCAGACAGTCTGGGCTACGTTAATACCTTTTGCTGAAGTAGCGTACAATAACGCTGTACATAGCAACACAGGACATACCCCTTTTAAGGTTGTATATGGAATAGATTTCGTAGCTGTACCTGAATTACCTGAGACAAGGGACAACCCTACCACTGCTACCACCTGGTCTACGAAGATCACAGAAACTTGGATAAACGTACATGAAGCTATACATAAGGCATTTAAAGCTTATAAGACACATGCTGATAAGAAACAGAGTGACCACCCACCATTTCAAATAGGAGATTTAGTATATTTGTCCATCAAATACCTGAAGTTGGGTGTCTCATGTAAAAAGTTGGGCCCCAAATATATAGGACCTTTTACCATAAGTTGGGTGATCCTGTTATGGTACAGTTGAACTTACTGCCACGGTTCAAAAAGGTCCACCCAGTATTCTATTTTAGGTTCATTAAACCTGGAAGACATAATCCCAATGATCGGTTACCTGATCCAGTGAAGACAGATCATTATGAGATAGAGTATATTCTTGATTCATGGAAATATAGAGGAGGTCTACAATATTTAGTAAAATGGAAGGGATATCCT